GTTTTGTATTTTTTTCTGTGATTCAACAAACTTGTACTTTTTGCTATTTTTTTTTGACTGTTTTAGCTTTTAGCTGCTGTTCTGTTGGTTCCAGCTTTCACCTATTATTTTGCTTGTTTCAGCTTGGAAACAAGAGTTTATTTTGGCTTTAAGCTTGTGTTTTAATAGTGTCAGCTTTTGTTCTTTAGCCTGAAGTTTTATTTGTTTAATTATTAATAATTCAGTTTCAGCTTCTTTAACAAAAGTCAGTAAAGTACTCAGAACTTGGCATGCACACAGTATTTGAGATATTTTTAGTAATATTTGTAACAATAAGTGGAGGCGGTGGCAGCTCAGTGCAGGTTTCAGCTCAGGTTGTGTGAGTAGAGATATCTGACGTAAAATAATTGCCAACATTTTTGTGCAAATTTCACTCATAGCAGAGACTCCTGACGAAAGGAGCAGCCAAAATAAAGTTTGTAATGATAAATATTCAACTGTGCTAAAATAAAACCAACTGCATTTTTCAGATTTACACCAGAGTCTCAATTGAGCGTTTAATTTATTTTAGCTTTTCTTGTTCTTAACTTTAAAATCTGCTCAACATTAAAGAACAACGTGGATGGGAACAGAAGATGATTTACATTAAACGTGACTTTCACTTCTCAGACATCAAGCGTTACACTTCACACTCCTCTCTGACAGATTCTCCAGGAGGTTGGAGGGAAACCAGAAAAGCTGAAACACTAAAAACACCATCTGTACAGAATGTTTTGGACCGCAGCTTCAGTCAATCAACATCTGTAAGCAATGTGAGCTGACATTGTGAAATGGGGTATTTTTAGGCAAGGCTGCGTTTTTCTCTCTCCTCGCATTCAGTACAGGACGGAGTTGATTTGTGAGGGTCTCTCAACAGCCGAGAATGCTTCAACTCTTCACTTTTATGTTGAGACACCTGACAGATAAACATACAAGATAATTTGGCAAAAATATACAACAACGCACGCACACAGCTGCAGACAAGGAACACGGGTCGACAAATTTCTGTCTGATGTTATCAGTGTTTTTTACATGTCTCTGCAGGGTGAAAAATTTTGTGAGAGCTGGCTGCGGGCCATGAATATAGCTCCGTATTTTGTGTAGCTCCGGATCATGTGTAGCTCTGTATGATAAGAAGCTCTGTATGATGTGTAGCTCTGTATGATAAGAAGCTCTGTATGATGTGTAGCTCTGTATGATGTGTAGCTCTGTATCATGTGTAGCTCTGTATGATGTGTAGCTCTGTATGATGTGTAGCTCTGTATGATGTGTAGCTCTGTATGATAAGAAGCTCTGTATCATGTGTAGCTCTGTATGATGTGTAGCTCTGTATCATGTGTAGCTCTGTATGATGTGTAGCTCTGTATGA